TGCTGAGTGCTAGCAACAATCTGGTGGTCTCTTTGCCCATTTCATGTTTAGTTCCTCTGTAAATCATGGGAAATGCTAAGATCCTGAAAGGGGAGAGGTGGCAAGGCCTCCCCCTGATTCCAAGTGGTAACAAAAGCTTCAGATGAACCATTTTAGAAGATCAACAGGGACAATCTCCAGTTCCCTCTGAAATCACTTTGGGTCCCATCAGTCAACAGGGGCAGACTGATTTTTTTTGGAAAAACAGTTAAATTAAAAGTTAGAAATTCCTAAAGCTCCCCCTTGTTTTCATTGACAATTGTTTGCCCATGGAAATCTATTTTTTTTAAAGAAAGCAATGTACATGTTGCAAATGTGGCATCAATAAAAAGCTGGATGTAACGGTGTGGCAGGGATCATCCCCAGATAGACACAAGCAATATTTCAATTATGAAACATATAGTTAGCATTTCCACCCACACTGACATTTCTCCCATTGTAATTATATATGCTATATTATGAATACATTTCACTTGCCGTCTTGATTTAAAATGAATAAATACATGCTGGCATATATAATTTTGTATTATTGCTGAATCACGGAACCATCTTAAACTACAAAGATAAATGGATTTTGTTTCTGCTGCCCTTGTGCTAAACACATTTATTTAGAAATAAATTTGCTATTTTATTGAAGAAAGAGATAATTTTAAAGTGAAATTAAATCATGAATATCTATACCCATGTACCTGCGCAGAACACCATTTGGACTAGAGAAAGCTTGGCTTTTTAGACTGATTGGAAATCACTACCCTACTTTACACTGTGGAATAATAAACTACACTTTTTATTTATTTCACAATTTATTTGGTGGCTTCCAAAAATTTTGAATTTAAAATACAGGAAAAACTACTACTGGGATAAAGAGCCAAGGATGGCATTAAAAGATTTGCATTCCAAAATGATAACCACAAGATGGCCACAAATAGTATCAAATATTTTACAAATACTTCAAACACTGTAATTGAATCCTATATTTATTCCAAGTGGGACGTCCTGAATTTAAAAAAAAGGTTGGGGAATCTCAGATGTATCTTCATACTCTGCAAAGCAGAATTTTGCATGAAATCCCACATTACATTATATAATCTGCTAGCTATATGGTAGCCCTCGTCTTATGATCACAATTGAGCCCAGAACTTATGTTGCTAAGTGAGAAAGTTGTTAAGTGAGTTTTGTCTCATTTTACAATTTTTCTTGCCACATTTGTTAACTGAATCACTACAGTTGTTACATTAGTAGCAATAGTTGTAGAAAGTTAGCACCCACCCCTCTCCTGGAAGAACGAAATATTCTGAGAAATATTAAAAAGGCAGAATATTATATTTTCCTGGATGAGAAATGGAGAAACGTGCTTTTGGAAAGCAGCCTCTATCTTCCTTAATAGCCCTCAGAGATAGCTAGCTCTATTCATAAGCGAATACCCTCACCCAAGATCCAACAAAGGTAGGATTAGCTCTCAGTCACAATAAGAATTGTCCAACGCTCCTTCATTGCTTCACCCTTAGAAACTTCAACCAAACTTCAACTAAGCTCAGACAAACTCCTAGGATTTGTACATGGTCCCATGGGAGTTTGACAACAACCAATAGAATACATGTTCTTGCAAAGGAACAGGAAGCTCAAGTGCAAAGCCCAAGAGAAGGTATAAACCCCCCACTCTCAACTCCATGTGCCTAGAACCCATATGGTTCTGCTTCATTATTAAACCATTTTTTCAATCAGCCTCTATTTTTCCAGTGTTTTTCTCCCAACTTGGAATTGAAACAGATGGATATTTCTTCCAACAAAGCAATAGCACTTAGACTTATATATCACTTTATCCTGCTTTACAGCCCTCTCTAAGCGGTTTACAGAGTCAGTCTATTGTCCCCAACAGGGTCCCCATTTTACCGACCTCAGAAGGACAGAAGGCTGAGTCAACCTTGAGCCTGTGAGACCCAAACTGCCAAACTGCTGCCAACTGCTGGCAGCCAGTGATCAACAGAAGTAGCCTGCAGTACTGCATTCTAATTACTGCACCATCAGGGCTCAATATACACCCATCTTTCTTTCTTTCTTTCTTTCTTTCTTTCTTTCTTTCTTTCTTTCTTTCTTTCTTTCTTTCTTTCTTTCTTTCTTTCTTTCTTTCTT